TGATGATCGTCGTTCATTAATTACAAGACCCGCGGCACTAAACTGCCTCTCGACTCCAGCAGACGTTGCTGGAATTGAATATAAATGTCGAGCAAGCTTTGCCAAATATGCACATATTCGAGAGTCTTATTATGTATTCTCCTTTTTATCGAGCTCAATACAGATTGTACTGGCAGAACTCGCTTCAGATGATTGTAATACTGAACATACTTTTTGTTGTTTGATACCATCTAGTTCTTTAGCTAATTCAAGTATTTCATCTTGACTTGCACGATAATCAGTTGTCAATTTTGCATGGTCTTGTTTCAAATTCTAAATCAATAATGGTTAAAAATGGAAGGACGATAAAAAGCTACATACTTGATAATCGTTCTCTAATTGTTGTTTTCGTTGTTGATTTATTGAATCGGTCAAAAATCTTGCATTTTGAACTTGAACATTTGTTGTGGATGTTTGTCTTGAATAGAATGATGTAGATATTGTATACTACAGAGCGAGAGAGAGAGAGAGATGATTAAACTTGAAGAGTTATACAATGAACAACCTACACAAAAGTTTTTGACAAAAAAGCGTCGAATATTCAATGTTTGATCATTGATTAATGTATCAATGGTTTTTAAAGCAGAATCATCTGCGATTGGAATCATATGAATTTTCGTTGTTTGACATAAATAACGTAGAACTGGATCAGGACCATCAATGACATCAAGAACATACTTTCTCATACCATAATGTCTAAAATAAACCAAGCGTGAAAACTCAAGAACTACTAACTATGAATTACAAAATAAAATAAACTACTATGCACTATTTTAAATAACGTTTAATTGATAGATAGATGGTGGACGTCTTCACCACTCGACAGCCAAAACTTGCGAGACATCTTTTCATTAAAAGAAAAGTGCAAAAATCTTTGTTAAACGTAGGGTTGTAAGAGCGTCTGTGGAGAAAATTTTCAAAAGTTGAAACAGAGATATATTCGTCACACGTGCTGATAGCTCCTCCAGACATCCTCTAAATAATAGGAGCCATTCGGAGTAGCTATCTTTTATTATTCCGGCATGACATCGAGTTTTCTGAGAAATTCAGAACTGGTATGACTTTATCGTACTTTCAGATTTATTAAAGTGTAAAGCAGCTATAGGGGATGTTCTGAAGTGTTTTAACCCAATTTCAAATTTGAAAAACATTACTATGAGACTCTAGATAGTTGATCTCCTAGGTTTCATTCGTGTTTGAAATTTTCACATGTCATTTCACACTAGTTCTGAATTTCTCAGAAACCTTGATGTCACACCTTAATGATAAAAGGTAGCTACGCCGAATCGTTCTTTTTTTTTAGAGGATACCTGGAGCTATTAGCATATGTGACAAATACATCTGTTTTAACTTTTTTATTGAAAATTCGAAGGAGTGCTTCACAGATGCTCTTACAACCCTACGTTTGACAAAGATCTTGAATTCTACTTTTAATGAAAAGACGTCCTACCGAATGGCGAAGACATTCACCATCTATCTATCAATCAGAAGTTATCCAAAACGTGCAGAGTTCATTTTACTCTGTAATTCATAGTAGTTTTGTTTTTTTGCCCAAATAACTTGTGATTATTGAATGCTCTGAGAAAACTTTAGGATAATCTATTGTACCAATCTGAGGTCAATTTACTCTACAGACCACTAACAATACTTCTGCATAATACTTTAAACAATTTGACATACTGATATGTTGAAATTGGTTTTGCCTCATTTTTATAGGCTTGTAATGTCATTCGTGGTATGGCTGATGCGTGAACAACCAAATGTTGTTTTGTATGACATTCACTAATAAATAATTCCATATCATCTGTATCCTCAAAGATGAACATTGCTGTTAAATCACGTTTTGGTATGATAAATTCAACATATTTTGTCATATTTTGGTCTTCGATATTAAGCTAAAATCAACAGTTAGAGTGAGTAATCAACATTGACTTCAATACAAAGACCTACTGATAAGATCATTGGCTCGTAAACAACTTTTTTAAATAGATGTTTATTTTTTCTGTACCATTGAACGGCTTTAAAAGCATCTGGATTAAATGATTGTAATTTTTGTAGTCGAATATTTTGAACGTTATTTATTTGCTCCAATTCACGTTGTTTACCTTTGAAAAAAATAGAACAATAATAAAATACATTTTCTCTTTCCACAACACTTACTTGTAAGTTGTAATTGTAATTTTCTTAAATCGTCAGTAATTCGTTGACCTTTTACTTGTAAACTATGATTTTGTTGATCTAATTGTTTACGATTTTTTTCTAATTCATTCCACTCTACCTAGAAAAATAGAAGAGTTTAGTCTAAGATAAATAGTGATGGATAAATGCATTCAACTTCTAAATCATTATGATCATTAGCATTTTGATCGGTTATTTCCAGTTGTTCAGTTAATACTGATATCTGATTAGTTATATCTTCACATTGTTCGATTCGTCGTCTTTCTTCCTCTCTTTTATGACGTAAATCTTCCCGAATTTTTTCAATCAAATCATCTTTATCTTCAGTGAATGCATTAATGGCATTTGTTAAACGAGTTTTTAACTCGAGCGTTTGTTTAAGCTAAAATGATTCAAAGAGTTGTTAATATTATTAAAACAAGTAATAGAAAAGGAAAGAGTAGAATATTTGAAATGTATAAGTGGAGGAATATCGAGAGATAAACCGCTTATTTAACGCTTATTTAGTTTTGAATCAAGGAAAACAGGTGATAAATATACAATCTTAATAAAATATTAAAGTCATAAACGCCTTTACCTTTGTTCTAAATAATGTCTGACTTTTTTCCATATCTTTTTTTCGATCATTCATTATATCCGTTACTGGTTTTAAACGTTGTTTGACTTCATTTATTCGTTTTTTCATTTCTTCCCATGCTTGAGCCACTCTTTGATGTTCCAGTGCTTTTTCTTCATATTCCTATAAAAATAGAGATTTAGTAAGAAACATTAAAAGATCATTGTCAACATACAAGATATCCTTTATATTGGGTATAATGCATAATTTTTGTTTCCAATTCTTTTCGTCCTTGAAATGATTGCATATCGGGTTCCATATGTTTAATAGCTTGTTTTGATGTACTTATTTCACTTTCCAATTCATTTAATTCTTGTTCATAATTTCGAGCTTTTTCACCAAGATCTTTCAATGATTTATGCAATTGAAATAACGTTTCACCTCCTACCTGAACAATAGAGATATAAATCGGTTTGAAAACGAAAAATTGCAAAATTAAAAATATAATTTACACATTTTTCTGTATTTTCAAGCATATCATCTTTGCTCATTCGTGTAAAATCAGCCACCTTCTCTTGTGGTAAAAACTGACATAAGTTATCAACTTGAATATGCAGTTTACGAACTTGATTTTTGATCTAAAAAATATGTGACGTAAATAAACTTGTTATAAATAAACCAGAGAAGTTTATGAGTTATGATCCTGCTTTTTCTAAAGAACAATACTGTGATTTTTCCAAAAACTAGCTGTAGATCGAAGATATATCTATAGTTACCCTTGAAGAAAATACTTACATCTCCTTCAGTTGATTTTTTGCCATTCAATGTCCATATACTCGAGTTATTTGTATTAATTGTACGATTAATAATCCAATTGCATCCATCTTCTTGATTAAACCTAAACACAAAGGATAAACTTTCTCTTAATGATTTATTCGATATCTTGCTATGTTAACAAATGCTACTTACAATTCAATTTCGATAATTGCTTTTTCACAACCAGTTTTAATATATTCACAAACATTATGAGCACGGCCAATTATTTTTGTTGAACCAGCTAGACCAAGACAAATGGCACAAACGATCGACGATTTACTAAAATAACCAAACATACATCATTTTATAGGTTAATCATCATAAAGTATGTAACACACGGAGATATACCGTGCATTTTTGCTGATGTAATTTGAACATCGTTGCTCCGATATGCTGTACAACTCAGATGTATAACTCTCTACAACCAATGATATCTGAGGTTGATTACGCTCACCATTTGGCTATCTGAATTTTTAAAAACTATATCATTGCAGAAAGATTGCTTTTAACATACCCACTACCATTCGGACCAATAATAACATTCAAACGTGGACCAGGAAATAATTCAACTTCTTTATAAGTCCTAAAAGAAGAGAACAATGACAATGATAATTGATAAATGTTCATCTTCGCATGTTCTTCTGGCATACATGAAATTTTCTAATTTTATTCGAGCAATGGCTCCATGTGCATGTCGTTTTTCATCACTTTCACTTTCACCGGGATTGGTCGTCAATCTATTTTGTGATTTCCGATTCGACGCCATCTGAAACAAAAATCAAAGATTCAGATGTTGTTTCATTAAAAAAAAGTTCGATAAGAGCTATCTAAAAAGTACTAAATCTACGTAGAACATACCCCTTATTAGATTGGATACATCTGCGCTTTCACTACAAAAATTGAAGTACTGAAAAGGTATTTAAGTTATGGTCCACAGTCAAATGGGATTCTCCAGGAGCATTCTGTAGGACGTTTGAGGCGCAAGGCCTCAAATAAAAGTAAAGTGGGACGCTTTTCGTTGTAGAAATCCATTATTCAGGTGGTACATGGAGAGACTGAACCTCCGAGGTGGTACAGAATGCCTCAAATGACTAAGTGGAGATAGACGCCAATGGGATTCTCCGTAACTACAGTTCTAATATCTATACCTTCTATCATTCTCTCGATTCGTTTAAACTTTTTATTCCTGATTTATGATCACACCGATATTTAACGCAAACTCACTTGTTTTTACGATACCCAAGCTTAAGCCGCACTCTACCTATATCAGGATCTACAGCATTTAAGGGGGAAGGACTTGTTGGGTCAATAAACAAAAATTTGAGGATAAAAAAGTTACATTGTTCCACCGGCCAATATATTATCTCTTTGACAACGTTGTGGGGTGTCGCTGTTGTTTTAAAAATATGCCCTGCAAATAGGAACAGAAAAATGCTATAAAATACACAATCAGATGTAAGAATCCTGAACAAATTAAGAAAAGAAGATCGCGGAAGAGATCAAAGAACCTGTCAAATAAGAAGAATCTTTTCGCACTTGTTATTTGTTTGATACCGTATGCAGCGAATGTTCTCTTTTGTTGTGTCCTTTTATAAACTGAGTTATATTGTTCTGTTCAAGTCCGATGTGGGTAATATGCTCAAACAAAATATACCTTCTACGAACAGAAATATCTCCTTATTTGATAGAATGCTTATTACCATAAATTCTGCTTGGAAAAGTAAGATACGGATTGACAGAATAAAGAAAGAAAAGCAAAAAAAGATATGTGAGAACTGTCCAATTAGAATTTAATTTTTTCCATTTTTTGGTATTAACGACAACAGTTAAAAGACAACTGTTCTCGAGTTCCAAAGAACATCGAGAACTAGAACTGTCACATTCCTAAACTAGAATAAGATTGGTCCTATATCGCATTAACTTTTCTCATCTTCAAGTCTACATTATAACAGAAAACAAACTACAGACTTTCTCTGGCATTAGAAAGGTGACTATAAAAACACAAAAAGTACAAGCGGCTTCTTGCAGCTAAAAACTTGATCGCTGATTGTATGATGTTGCTATTTATCTACTGGCGCCAAAAATAATAATTTTCTCTAGCGTATGCGACTATACACGCCAGTACTATACTATCAAAGCAGCTTTTTTCTTCAAATCACCAATCTATAAGCTCTAAATGTCACTTCGTTCTACAGCTAAAAACATGTAACTAAAATACGTAAGCAAATTTAATAATTATCGAGAATTTATTCCTTCACCTTATGAGGATTAATAAAGTTTGAAAACTCTTTTTTCAAATTCTTTACTTTCATCCTCATATATATATTTATTAGTTAATTCGATGTTTCGGATAATCTCAACAGCCATACTTCACATAGGCGGGCCGGAAAAACCTTTTTAGGGAGGGCAATCAATTTTTTAGAGTAGTGCATACACAAACTTGCTTCCCTTCATAACTCTTGTCCCTGCTAACACACTTTTCCTTCATTTAAACTGTACATCAAATTTTTCGATGAAGAATTGCTTTTTCTTTATTCTGAACTTCGGACAGATACTCCGCTGAGAAATATAATTCTTCACATGGCAATAAGCAGTTATTGCCCTTGGTATTTTTTTCCAGGAGGTGTAATTGCCCTGCTGACGGTCCGCCGATGATTCTTCAACAATAAAAAAATAAATCAAATAGTTTAATTAGTGCTAAATATTGCTAGAAGTATAGTTTGTTATATTATATATAAAATTAATTAATATATTAATTAATATATTAATGTAATGTATTAAAAAGTTTTTCTACAGTACTAGTAAAAATTATAGGGATGATTTATTTTTAACTTTTTTTGCTCGACTGTAAAAGCCAAAACAAATCCGAAAAGTGATTTCAGTAGCGAAAAGAATCTCCAATCAGATGAGGTGCATATGTAAATTGTTTTCAAAGTCAATTTTGCTCGTTTTTTTTAGCGATTTTGACGATCAAGGGGCCTTTCGTAAAATGAATGCCGTTCGATGAAAAAACGATGTGAAGAGCTCGGCAACGTCTAGTTTTACTTAGAAATATTTGCTCTATACCACTTAACTATTTACAAACAGTTTTCGTTCGAATCCTAGACTTGATTTTTTTGGCTCTTCTAAAATCTTGGCTTTTCAGAGACGTGATTGGTAGAAATTTTTATGGAATTTACATATGCACCTCGCCTGATTGAAGATTCTTTTCGCTACCGTACTGTACTGTATATGGTCATTTTGCGCTTTGTTCAACGTAAACAGGAATAAGTCTCCAACTGCTTAATTTAATTTTTGGTTTTAAGCTAATTTAAATTTGACTTGATAATCAAAGTAGTAGAACTTCAGTAATTAGTGAGCGAACAGTTATCAAAAGCTGTTTGTTCATATGCTTAGAATAACCTCCAAATTAAATGTCGAATGTGGAAAACGGCTTCCGAGAATGTCCTCTCAGTTCACCGATATTGTTTTGTCTTTTTTTGAAAATATCTTAAAACTAAAAGAATGAAAATTGAAAAAATAACAGATAGTTTTTGTTTTGAGCGTTTGTAGTTCAGTTAAAATGAAAACAGTATACAACATCAAAATATGAATATCTGATATTTCGAAAAAAATTTTCTTACCTATTAATCAGAAACTGTCTATCTGGAAAGATTAGCCAAAAATAGCGAGAAAGAAAAGCCTTAATCCAAAAAAGAATATTCGTTAACTCTGTTTATTATTAGAAAATTAATTGCACAAGAGATAAAGAAAAAAAGTCAAAACACATAGAATTTTAAAAATGCAGTTTATAATTAATATTCTTCTTTATCACTTCGATCTTCTTGATTGATCGCGTTCTCGATCCTTGTCACTTTCACGATGACGGTCATTGGAAGTATGATGTTTTGATCTAAATAAAAAATAAAAAATAAAAAATAAGAAAGAGAATAATAACGCATAAATATCGGATACATACCGTTTGCTTTTATGTTCTTCATGAGGTGATTTTTGTCTTTCTCTTGATCTTTTCCGTTCGTGTCGACGATGACTTTTATCGTGACGATCTTTTTCTTTTCGACTCGAAGAATGATGTCGATCTTTTTCACGTGGCGATTTTTCTAATTTATCTACATCGTCGTCATTATTATTATTTACGGTGTCATCGTCTTTTTCTTCTTCTTGTTCATCTTGAATAATTCTTAACACACAAAAAAAAGAACTAGTTGCATCTAAAAACTGTTAACTTCAATATTTACTAACGTGTATTGTCTTTGAGCTAGTTCAATTTTACGACGTTCTGCCTCTTTGAGTTCATCAACTTTCTTTTTCGTAGCTTCTTTTGGATTATATTCACCAAGACCCAACGCTTCACGTAATTTGCGATTTTTTTCTTCATTTGCTTGAGCCAATTGATGAGTTTCCTTAGCTCTGAATAAAAATCAAATAATTTAAAGGTAGACTTGTTGAAGACTATGTGTTCTCATTCTGAAAAATGTTATCATCTATAGAAATGAGAGTTTTTTTCTCCGGAAAAACAATGAGCGTTTCATCACAAAAGAGACTAAACAGCAAAATTTGTCACAAATTACACTTACACTGGTCTTCCATGTTCATCATATTCAACTTGTTCATTATTATATAATCCTTCGCGTTCAATCAACATTTTCCGAAATTTTTGTACTTTGCGTTTGGTTGTTTCTTCATCATAACTAAAGACAAAGAAGATATAAAGAGCATTAGTACAGAGCATTAGAGATCATAAATTCCTGCTGAAGAAAAAATAAATTGTTGATTTCACTTACTTATTACTTAACATCATATCACGCATTTCAGCACATTTTAATTCGACACGACGTTTCTTTTCATGCTCTAATATTTCTACATTTCCTTTTCGTTCAATCAGTGTTTCAAGTTGTTTTACATCTGCATCTTTAACATATGTCACACGATCACGTTTTACATTCACAAATGATAAGTTTTTTTGAACATAACCATTTGTACCAGTTCCACGAGGTGTATTAAGACCAATCCCGTTATACATCTAGAATTGTAAAAGGTATAATTTTGTAAACATGATGCAATATTTTCAAAACAAATTGATAATATCTGCCACAATTACTTAAGGTTATATAGTCAGAAACATTGATATAGTTGAATGAAAGGCAACTAAGATAGTTTTGGACATGTCAAAATGAATGATAGAAGATGACCAAAACAAATCCTAACAGGCAGATATGAAGATAAAGTAGGCAGACCGAGAAAGACATCGTTTGACAACATAAGAGAGACTACTGACATCAACTCATCAAGTTCAAGTTCAATTTATTTGGTATCCATGATGTTGGTAATGACAGTGGAAGTGAATTTGTAGTCTTCCTTTCAAATTTTGGTACCTCTCAAAGGCAGCGATTCGAAGTACGTGCAGAAGTACGAGTAGCTAAAGGTTTTACCAAAGAAAAACAGGAGAGAGCAATACGATCAGTAATAATTTTATGAAAAAGCAGTAATCTGAAATATTTACGACGAATTGCTAGGTCACGTAATTTGAGTTTCTTAATAAGAGAACTACTAGAATAATAATCATTAGTAATAATTCGTGCAGCTAATTTATGAACAGATGTTAGTAGTTCTAAGTGTGTCTTAAAATCATTATCAAAAACAGCACAACAGTAATCCATCACAGGTAAGATGCATGCTTTATAGATATGAAGCCGTATAAACTCTGGTGCATGCCTGAAAGTTCTATTCATGACTCCTAGCATTTGTCTATATCTTGTAATGGTGTTTTCAAATCATATTTTCACGTAAAATCTGGTGAAAGATGTATTCTCAATAATTTGATATTTTTTTCGAGTAAAATTGGTTTTCCATTTCGAAAAAGTGGAGAATATTGATCCGGCAGTTTGAAATTATAAAAAGGCATATAACAACATTTTTTTGTGTCTAAGTCAACCTCATTACTGACACACCAGTCTAGCATAATATCTAAAAAAACTTTGAACTTTTGTGAGATCTTTGAAATTTTGGAGTGGAATCATGCCAAAACCATCATGGGCAAATAAAGATGCTGTTACTGTAGAAGAAAATGTCTGTGTGGGATCATTACAAAAGATGCTCAAGATAGAGAGAGTCATGGAAGGAAAAGTGTGATTCATTTGTGCCCCAACGGATAGATCCACGCACACGGGGAAATTGGTCCATGCGAAAAGAATGAATGAGTCAGAAACACCAAGCATTTTTTCACATTAGTTTTATTATAACAATCTGTAACAATAAAACAAAACGGATACAAAATAACCTATGAAAGATATACAAGCAACAAATTCAACTTTTAGACACTGACTGTTGTTCTGATACGGCGACAGTTTGATGTGAAGCAGTCGATGTAACTGATACTTTTTTCGTTGTCGGTTTTTTGTTAACTTTATCTAAATCACGTTTCTGTATAGATTTCAATTGTTTCTTTTTCATACGTTTTATTTTGGCTGGATTTTTTATCTGAAAATAAAAACGATATATTGTTGCAAAATTAAAATAACAGTGAATGTGGGTTAAACAAATCCTCTTTAACTTACCACTTGTACAATTTCTCCTTTTCGTTCATTTTCTAAACGTCTTTCTTTATTTTCTTTCTGTCGTTTTCTTAGATTCTAAACACAGAAACACTTTTAACAACAATTATAAGCAGGAGAAAACGAAAATCTTACATCACGTTTTTCATTGACAGCTTTCCACATTTCTTTTTCTATTGAACGTGTATGGTTTAAACCTGTTTTCAATTTTATTCGTTCATCATAAGACATTTTCAGAGATTTTGGACGAGATATGGCCGAAAATCTTCAATATAAAATTTTCAAGGTAAACATATTACCATTAAGAAAAACAAATAGTCTTACCTGCCCTTTTGAAGCTTCCATGTTCGACCGCCTTTAGGCTTTCCTCTCGGTATAGCATGTAGTTGTTCTTTTTCCTTTTTAAAATTATTCGCCGTAGTTTTATTTTCATCCATCTAAGAAGTAAAACATTGAACTAAACTACAGTTGTAAGAAACTTTTTTCTTATTCATCTCATGCTCCTTCCCGAAAAAAGTAAAACTTGTTTTTGTAAATATACAAAGCAATTAGAAGTAAAAGCTGATGTAAATAACATCAAAAACAAACAAGAAATATATGGATAACAATCATATTCATGGCATAAATAATAAATATGTCAGCGTACTCTTGTTGTCGTACCGTCTGTTTCTAACATATAAACATTACTTTCTTAACTGAAAAAGACAGTTGAAACCGTTTAATGTTCACGAGCAACAGAAAAACTGTTCGCACTCAACCAACACAATTTCAACCTACATTTGTACGTCGAATCGTAGTGGAATCAATCGTTTGTGTTTCGTCCTTTATGTTATCAGTTTACGCGGCAAGTATCAGAATGATAAACAAATACAATAAAAAATATTAAATTTTTCGTCTTTTCGAGTTGATACATGTAGACGATTACTATTTTGTGCAAAATATTCAATCATAAAAATGATTTTTATCCAGAAAAATGCATATCTATCTGACAAAGGAGAAAACTGTTTCGCTAATCGATAGCAAAAGAGCAAAGGAAAGCAGATTTTTCACAGAGTTAACACAGAATTTTTCTCAAATGAATGAAGTAGAGGACAAAAAGAGCTATGACGAAAGAAAGTTTCACTACATATGATGGTCATTTACGATCGATCAATTTAAGAAACAAAAAGAAAATCTGCTGTGACTCATAGTACAAGTTGATTCGCATTCATAACCTCCAATGTAATTTAAACTGTTAACTGAATGGTAGCGCAAGTGCGGAAGTGTGCTGTACATCACGCAAAAAAAAGGAGAAAAATGGTTGTTGTCATGTACACGAGGTGAAATTAGTCGATTGTGATGGTTGATTGAACGGGCCTGGGTTCGTAACATCCTATATTTCGTATATTTGAGGGGGAAAGTGGGGTTATGCTGAAATAAGTTGTATTTGATCGTGAAAAGACACATGTGCTTTCCTCACACATTAAGATTTTAACTAAATCTTTCACACATCATCATCAGGAAAATGAACATCGATAACTGATTATATAGTCTGTAAATATGAGTATAAGACAAAGAAATTAAAGAAACAATTTTGCCAGTAGGTACAACGTGCCAGTAAAAGAATCTATTGAGATTGCACTGTATGTTATACAAACCAAAGAAAATAGTTGATATACCCTTCAGTCGACAACAAATAAAAAGACTGGTAGAATTAGCCGTTTGTGATGTACCATTTAGATTTATGAGTAATTACGTGCAATCTGATGGAATATCAACGGGTTCACCACTTGCACCAAAACTTGCAGACCTATTTATGTCAAAACTCGAAACTAAGTTAAGCAGATTTTCTACCAATAAACCATTACGATAGCTTCGATACGTTGATGATATATTTCGCATATTCACAACAAAACAGGATATTAACCATTTTTTTCCCTTTGCGTGCTTTTTGTGTGAAGTAAACTTCATTGTATCGACATTTTCATCGATTTGAACACATATTCATTTTCAATTCAGTCGATGACCTGCACAGAGATGGCCTCAATGGTACTCTGGTGTTTTTTCATCATACTAAACGGTGTTGGTTTAGTGAAAAGAGACGTCCTGTATTATTACAGAAGTCCTATATAAATTCTTTTTTCAAATCCTATATTTGTGGGAAGGGTCAGTACGAACCCAGGAATCAGCATTTTGAAATCCTACCGTGTGAATTTGGTGTCGAAAAACTCATGTTTTCGGAAGAAACGAATAGATAATGGTTTCAGACTTTGGGAGGAGCTAAATGTTAAAGAGATATTCTAAGAAATTCACGAGATTTAGAGCCCTAGTGAATTATTATTTTAGAAAAAAGGTTGTTTAATTTATTTTAGAATTAATTATGGCTAAACGTCGTCTCGAAGATGCTATTGTTGCATCTCGTGCCTTAAATGTTGGAATAAAATTAATTGATAATTTTAAAAGTGCTCAGTCATTATTTTCTACCGATGTTCATTTAAATGGTGGTGTATTTTCATTACGCTTTAGTGATGATTTAGATCTCGTTGGTATTGGATATGGTGATGGTTCAGTTCGTTTATATTCGGTTATAAGTGGTAAACAAGTTTTGGAATTTTTACCATCATCATTGCCAAAAATTGAACATCTTCGACGATTAAGTACGGATTTACCGGTGATGAGCTTAAAATGGCATCCACAACAAAGTGATTTATTATACTCAGCCTGCACTGACGGTTCAATTCGTTTGCATAATCGACAGACAAATGAACTGAGCGTAATTGCTTATGAATATGATAATGAGTTAACATCAATGGATTTTTCTGTGGATGGAAAGTATTTTGCAACAACGGGAAAGGATGCCAATATACGTATATATAACACAGAACACAATATCGTTTCACATACGTATAATAATACAAAGGTTGATACACAAGTAGAACAAATACGTAGAAGTAGTGGTACAGGGGATGAATTATGTACAACTGGTCACTATCATCGTGCATATGCTGTTAAATTTCATCCTGATCACACAAATATTTTGATGACAGGTGGATGGGATAACATTGTTAAAATATGGGATATTCGACAGAAAGAATGTATTAATGAAGCAATTGTTGGACCTCATATTTGTGGTGAAGGTGAGTAGAATGCTAAACAATGTCCAACAATAAGTTCCTCCCCTAGAGAATGTTCAGTTTGCCCGATCAGACCACTGGTCAGTAAACTGTAAGTAAAAAAGTCCTTGTCCTGCTTTCTTGGTCAGGATCTGTTTTTTTTTCTTGAACAGTGAAAGAAATCAAGAACATGACCTGTTTATTTCCTGATCAGTGAAAGAAATCAAGAACAGGACCTGCTTTTTGGATAGTCATCACGCATTCAGCTGATAGCCCAGCGTTAAAAATGACTATAGCTTTTTCAGGTTTGATTACATCATGTTTTACTCGGACTTTTCTTCGGAAACATGATGTAAACAGTTTTTGAGGTTTTTATTGGTCCTGTGATCCCTTTAGGACCTCACAATCTTTATCTGCAAATGAAAAAAGACATGTTTTTACAGAACTCATAAATCAAAGACAAAGGATTCAGTACGAGTACACAGGAATTTTGGCTCTTTAATGCGTCATGTAAACCTTCCTGGCGTTTTCTTGCCATAATGTTGAACTATTTTCAATCTGTTTTTAATAAGTTAGTAACAAGGTCTGAGACTTTCAGTCAAGAAATTTTCTATCTTGGTTTCTATTCCTCGTCATGTGCTTCTTAATTATGGCTTGACATATAACGAGCAGTTGATCTCAAAATAAACGTGAGAGCCGTTGATGGTTCGCGTGTGAATATTACCGATAAGGTAACGTTTGCCGCATGTGAAGGAAACATTCACGCTTGAACTTTCAGAGAATGTATACCCGTAGATACTATCGCTAAGATCGGTTCGTTATTAGAGCCAGTCTAATATTCTGTGAATGAGGCGGAATGGCTGAGCCCCAATCCTCTGTGCGTCAAACAAAACCGAACCGATCATTGCTACATCCTGAGAGCCACTAACAGCAAAGCGATCTTACACCGAAGATACTAACAATCGCTATAAAAAACATCAACCTTTAATGCATTTTTCACTTCTTGCATTTTTATTTTGAGATTTTTCCCAGTCTATATGTTTAATTGAGCCTATACATCAGAGAAGTACTCATATCTGATGCACTTCTTGAGAAAGGCTCATTTTTGATATCCAGGATAGCTAAAAAAATATTCAACTTTGCGATAATAAGCTTGGCAAGGATTTAAGTCTCTCTACTCTCCCACTCACTGAAACTGCCGTGCACTTCCCCTGTGAATTAATTATTTTTTTTATGTACCTGTACTTTGACTCACGTGTCTGCTTTACAGCTTATACAAAATGTGGACTACATAAACTATATAAATATACATCGGTCTGGAAACTTAGCTATAGATATAAATGTTCACGTGGAAAGAACTGAAAATAAATTCTCTTGCGTTCTTGCAGTTAGAAAGAAAAGTATAGCCTATTCGCCCCTGATCAGTGCCTGTTTCTTGGAAAATGTTAAGACCAGCCCAAGATTTACTGTTTATCTGATCAGTAAAAAAAAACACATTTTTTTGACCTGTTCGTATCACTTTCTTGGTCTGGTCTTGGAGCTGATCAGGACAAGAAAATAAAAACAGGAAACAGATAACTGTAAATAAATAAGTCTGTACCCTGTTTCCAAGACCAGGCAAACTGGACATTCTCTAGGGATCGTCTCTGCTGACATTCTTGCAGCTTGACATAAATCCATTTTTTTATCCAGGTATTGATGCGCGCGGTAATGATATATTAACGGCATCATGGGCACGTTCGAATTCGTTGAAAATCTATGATTTTCGTACAATGGATTTGTTGCAAACATTGAAAGTTCAAGGTGCTGATGAAAAAGGTGAATATATGTATTCGGCTCAATTATGTGATAATAACACGGTCATAGCTGTGGGTAGTGGAACAAATTCGTGCCATGTAATTAATACTGTGAATAATAGTGAATTAGTGCGATTACCATTAACAAAACCAATCTATGCTCTTGACTCGATGCTTGGCGGACGAGTATTTGTCTTTGGCGGATTGGATAAATTTGTAATCGCTCATATGAAAGATAATTAAAGAATAAGAAATTTATTAAAAAAATTAAATCTCAATTACTTTTTGGGTGCTATGACTTTTTTCTTTTCAAATCATCCAGTCGTTGGTCATGTTTCAAGCTAACAATTTTTATTTACACATGTCTGTCATTTTTTCTTGCAAAAAAGTACTAACTATTTTGTGTCTTATGAGCTATTCCTGACAATTTTTGTACATTTTTTCATTTTATTTATAGATGATAAAGTAACTGTTTACGGTGTTATTTTTTACACGAGTTACCGATGAGTGTGTGCCTTTTTTTCAAATTTTTCGTTGTACAATGTATATATATATATATAGAAGAAATTAGAAACGAAGATTTTAAAACATGTTTCGCTTATTGAAAACTCATCAGTCGAAATAAGGAGCATAAATAGAAGAGTTTTTAGTTATTCAGTTTCGGTTACAGTAGTCACTTAAAAAGTCGTTCTTTCTCTTTTTTTGTATTTTGTCACATTTGAGGGTATTTTGTAGATTGAGTACATACAATATGTGTTCATTAATCTTGACTATTGAAGACTAAATTAATTAATTGACTATTGAAGACGTGTGTTATGCTGTCGATTAGATCGAAGATGTAAAAGGAGTACTGATCTCATTGATATAGAATTCTTTACCCCTTGAGCAGATTAGGCAATAAATAAGATTTTGAGTTTTCCAGTGCATAGTTTGATTAGGTCATACTGTTCTGTCGTTTTTTAATGTAAGCATCTCAGTCTCAGTTTTTAAAGTCCACAGTTTGGCTTACAACACCTCAGTATTCTTGGACAATTATTTGGATATTGGTTTGTTGAAGTGAATAGTCGGCATAAGTTAGGCAGTTGTCTGTAGAATGCTGTTATTGTAATATCCTTTAATAGATGGGACGTATCAAATACGGTGAACTCGCATGACAGACAGACGACTCGGGTTGTATGTAGCTGTGAAAAAGGTTCTGTTTGTATGTGGAGTATCGGACTGTTGTGTTGTTGTCAAGCTTTATGAACACCATCTTTTACTGAACCATCAGGATAATAGTTTTCTTTTAATTGTGCGATTAACTGGCTAAAATGGTAGTGTTTTCATGTTGAATCTGATACAATTAGTCAAATTCACTGAGTTAATATATATGATATATTATGTTTTAGATGTGCAGAATGTGATGATTTGAAGTGCATATAATTAAACAAGTCTGTCGGTTTAATGTAGTGATCAATGGGTATGTCAGTGTGCTCTGATGAAATCAATATGTCCAAATAATTAATTTGTTTTGATTGTTTGATACCATCCATCATGGGAGATTGATGCATATTATTGAGAGAATCGATCTGTCTGTGTCCAAATAATCCATGCAGCGGCAATATACCTTTCACACGTTCACTGTCCATGTATCATATATGATTCATTTAATTTTTGACTATAGAGTTCATGTATCATATGTGATACATTTGCAAGACACACTTCATGTTCACAACAAAAAATCATATTTAGTCTAATCTTGCAAATGTATTAGATATGATACATGAACTCTATAGTCAAAAATTAAATGAATCATATATAATACATGGACAGAGAACGTGTTAATAGCTATTCATGATGTGGGCAAGAATATTTGGAGGTAAGAGGTAAGCAGATGCAAAATACATTCGTTTTTCAAAATATGTCACAGTCAAAAATTTGCTACTATTTTTGATACTGAACCTCCCATAGCAAATTCTATGAGTCAGTGATAGAAGACTTTATTGACGTTTAGCAGAATTGGTCATATGTGGTATTAAATTTCTCAATGGTTAAATTACTTTATTTAAAAGCGAACTAAGTCTTCTAGTTGGTCCATTATTGGGCGAAATGAAAGGTCTTGATTGATTGTAGAAGTACTTATGTGTGTATTCAATTTTAACAAGATAATTAATACCTTCTTTATAAAGCTGAGCTTGATATTTGGCTGCAAAACACTCAACAAGTTTAATGCTTTGGATGTCCTCATTTTTGTTGGGTAGTGGTAAAAAAATGGTTTGAGTTGTGACAAAATCAGATTGGTTTTACACGTATATGAGTGTATAGTAGATGAAGTCATCACATACGGGTTTTTAGCAAATTCTTCTAAGCGTGAGTTGTTTTTGGGCGCTGATTTTGTGGTTTTATTTCGGATTATTGGTGAATCAGATGTTGGTATAGACAGATAGTATCGAACCACTGTATGCAATAGGCAAAATTTTTAATATCTTTAGTTAAATCGGAATAGTCTGTTTTTATTAGTGGTGTAAATTTTAAGCCTAATAATAAGGCAGATAGCTGATCCTTTGAAAGTACAATCGACGATAAGTTTGAAAGTACAGTCGTGGGTATGTTTGACATGTTTGAGATTGTTGGTGACGTATGGATTTGTTGATATACGTGTGGTTGTTGTTGTTTGATGTGTGTTCGTGATAGTAGAAAGCGTAGGTCGTTGTTACTGTGATTGCCTAAAATAGGTAGAATTAACATATATTGATGGTTGTGTACGATGAAAAACTCGAAGTGGTTGTTGGAAATATTGTTTTATTTTGATCTATGGATCTGCATTTAGAACTCTTGATGATTTATAACTATTCCAGAATTGGATATGTTTGAGGGATATGCTTTGTTCTTGTCTTTGGATGTCTTTGACATCTTATTATATATTTATATTATTGAGACGTTTCTCCATATCAGGAAGTGTAACATCAACGTCGAATGGCTTCTATGAACGATATATTCGACATAAAATGCTCGCATTCGGAAAAATACATCTTATGAAAAGTGAAACCTATCGAAGTTTCTGATAACGGACATAAAGATACAGAACAAGATCCGCTAAAGTATTGTCAAATCAAATGTTTTTGTAAAGTACACTCACTTAATATTTTCTCTCACATATGTAGAAAACTTTTTACAATGTACAGTCTTTTTTTATATCTAAGAAGATTTTGTTTTTCTTTTCAGATAATTATAGCATGAATCCATAAAAAAATTCTGCATCCTTTATTTACTGTTCTCGAAAAGTCACATTGACTTATAGATTTTTTTTCTTACATTATTTAATGCATTCTTAATGCCGCAATGATCAATGAACACAAGAAGATAATTTTGAAAACTTGAGAAAAGACTTTCAACAAGAAAGATTATTATGTATTGTTCGTGAACAAGAAATAATGAAAAAAACAACAAAGCGTTGTGAGTGTGCTTTATTCATTACTTTTTATAATTATTCTCATTCCTTTCTCACTTGAAGAGCTTATCAGCATCGTGAACAAGAAGCTAATAAACCAATAGAATGTTAATGTCAATTCATACAATGCGCAATGAAAAGCAATTATTGCATAAGCAATAATGCGTTATCAACATGGCTTACAAGGATTTACAATAATGGATACAAGACCAGAAATGACTATCGATGTTTATTTGACAGTGTTTCTAAATTCGTGTAAATCATAATAAATTTAAAAAAGTATTAGAGACAATAATCGGTAACAAAATATCAGTATAATCGACATCAAGTTCACATTTTATCGTTCAATTTCAATGGAAGAATTTCACACAATGCAGCAATTTTGATCAAATAGCATAAGAAAATGAAAAAATTATTTTTGCCTTCCATCTCATTGAAAATAATTATCAGACAATACCGGAATCAATTGCAAAAATGAACGATGTTCTAAATGTTATATTAAAACAGCAATAACTAAATGAAACATAATTAAAACATTTTATTCGATCATAATCGACGACATAAAATACAATAGCATCAACAGCCGTACTAAGTGAAAATAATGTACCATCAACAAATGGAAATTTCGAAAATATTTTAAAATGAACACGATCAATGAATTGTACTGTTGTTTTTTACATAAGAAGTAAAATACTAACTACAAAAACAAAAATTATTTATCTCGATTTTTATTGTCCAATCATCATTTCGAAGCATTGAAAGACAATATAGTCTAAAAATTATCAATTCAATATTTTCTCGAAGAATAGAATATAAAAGTAAGAACAAATTGAAACACAATTAAAATTGTGTTATACATTTTTTCTTTAAAAATATTTATCGTTCTCTTTTAATTATATTTTAGAATAATTTATTTAGACAAAAAGAAAATGGTTAGATTTGTTCAGATACCATTGACAAGTGAACAATGTACATTAGATACATTATTAAATGAAACAAATTGATTATATTAATAATGGTAAATATATATATATATTTTTTTTCACCATATAAACTATACTAAATACTATACACCGGTTTTTGATAAAAAGAAAAATAAAATAAAAAATAAAACTAAAATTTTATACTAATAAATTATCACAGTTCCATTTTAAAAATGTTTTTAAAAGAATCCATTTTTTATTATGATTAAAATCATTATTGTCTGATTTTTCATCATTCACATAGACAATGGGTATATCATTATTCTCATTTTTTATTGTTTCTAATAATGTTGATGTTTTTCGTTTGATTTTTCGAATTGAATATGTTTTTATTGATGCTGGTATTAGAAATGTTTCAGCATAATTATAAATAAATATTTGATTATTATATATAATTTCAATTGCATCACCTTCAACTAACATACATAAATGAAAACGATTTTCTGTTTGAATTTCAATTATTTCTTCTGTATCAATTGTAATACGATGTATATCATAAAAATGTAATTTATGAGTTTTTAAATATTCAATTTCATAATGATGATTATTTTGATGTTCAATATATTCTGGTTGACATATTAATGATTCAAATTTTTGTGTATAATTTATATTTTTTAAACCATGTACAATATTTAATGGATATAAATAATCATCTAAACTTTTTCTTAACCAATCATAAAGTTTAAATGTATATATATAGGGTGTAGTACTTATTTCAAGTATAATATTATTTTTTCCTAATGCATGAATTGTTTCATTTGGAATTAGAAAAAAATCATGTTTATTTGATTTAATTTTTTTTATATATTTATCAATATTAATTTCTATTTGATTTTGTTGACTTTGTTTTAAATCATTTTCAAATGATTCAATAAATGTTTGTTGATCATTTTCAAATCCAATATAAACATAAGATTGTTCTTGATCATTATGTTTTGTATCTAAAATATAATATGTTTCATCTTGAGTATAAATTTCACCAAAATTTGTTCGTATATAATCTAAATTTGGATGACATTGAATAGATAAATTTTCACCATCTATTGTATCTAAAAAATTAAATCGAATAGGAAATTGTTGTTGAAATAAATCAATATGTTCATCATTTCCTAATATTGATGTTGTTTGTGTATTATATAAAAAATCCCATGATATTTCTAATAAATGTTTATTTTTATCACATAAAATAATACCATTTTCATTAGTAATCATTTCATAAGATCGACCATAATTTTTCACTTTTTTTGATATACCTTCACATGTTTGTTTTATCCATTGACCTCCCCATGGTTCGAGTTCAAACCATGGACGAACTCTTATTGGTCTTGTAATTAAATATTCAAGAGTTAAACGAAATTGTTCACCAAAAAACCATAATGGACATTCTGGTCGTTGACCATCAACAAATAGATCAATACGTGATGTTATTTCTTTTTTTAACTGATTAAATACAGGATAATCTAAATAGTATAAACATTTTTTTTCATACATAGTTTTTGTTAAATCACAATCATCATCATTTGTTGATAATTGATTATTATTATTATTATTATTATTATTGATTTCTAATGGTTTTAAATAACTTGTTGCTCGTTGAGCTTGAACACGATAGTATAATTCATTTTTTGGTAAATCAATATAAATTAATGGACTTTCTTTATCGATTAATGATGCACCTGGTCCAATTACGATACATGGATATGATAAACTTTGTTTTAAATATTGAAAATTATCATCATCGATAAAATCTTCGAATTTATCTGTACACAAACGACCAAATATTGATTTATTATCACCTAAGTAATATTGACGTTTTTTATCATCATTTAATAAAAATGTTTTTGTATCATAAAATAATATCATTTGACTTTTTCGTTGTATACTATATTCATTAATAGCAGTGGCAAATTCATCAAAAAATGTACCAACATAACCATCAATTAGTATCATTTGACTTTGATCTAATAATTCAAATATTTTATCGCATAATGTTTTATATCCAACATATATTTCTCCATCAGGTATTAAATGAGTTGGATAAATATCATATGTCATTGTTGTTTCATCATTCGTTTTCACTACTGGTAACAAATATTGAGCAGTTTGTCGAGGATTTTTAGGTATCTCTTGTTCTTTATAGTTCTTTATCCAATGATAAACGGATCCAATACAACTAGAAAATTCATGAGATAAACAAAATTTGATTTCAACATTTACATTTCCTAATGCTTCAATTAATTTATCTTCAAATAGATAAGAGGCTAGTGCTAGACCACCACCAATGATAATCATATTCGGTTGAAATTTATCTACATAGATACGAAGAAAATCACCTAAATACTGTCCGAATAATTGAAAGGCCATTTGTGCATATTCATCACCATGAATAGCTAATTGTGTCAATATATATCCATTCAGTTGACGTTTAGTACCATTGATTTTCTTGTTCATCGTATTGAGTATATCGTTGACAGTTTTATTTATACTATGTGTTCCATTTTCGAGAGGTGTCGTAGAATCATTGACTAATCCATTTGAAGGTGTCTAGAAACAATAATATTCTTGACACTTGATCTCGTGAGTAGACAAGACGTAATCAAGACTTTTCCCTTCTATCAAAAAATAAAGGATATAGGTGATTAAAATAGAAAAATTTCCTTTAATATTTTTGACTTTTTTTTTCCAGTGAGAAACGTAACACAGGGTTATTAGAAATGTTTTGTTCGACTTAGTTTCTCCAAATTCTGATGCGAGTTTTTCGACATCCTTAATCTGAGGAACTTTCGAAAATTTAATATGAAGTAATCAACGTTCAATAAAGTTGTGAAAAAGCGAGATTCGAGCCCAAAATGAAGAAAAAATTATCATTTTCTCTTAATACTAACTGTAACGCACATTGATTTTCGCTGTCTTTAGACGTTAAACAGATAGAAGGCAAAAACTTACATCTCCTGTGAAATTTTCACGTTCGTTCCAGTTTTTTTGCAATTGCAGTACTAAAAAAGGATGAGGAAAATTTGTGATTTTCATGATTTTGGATGTGAATCTTGCTTTTCCAAACTTTATCGAACGTTAGTCACTTCATTTCAACACAATATCCACAAATATATGAGTTTTAAACGTAATATTCGGAAGAAGTATGACAATTTCCAGCTAGTGCGTGTGATTTGAAAAAAGTCTGAGACAAAACTAGGTATGCACTGGTATCGGTATACGAAAAATACCGGCTTTTTTGGATTTTCTCATTTGAAATTAGATATTTTCGCGTCCTGAACAGGTGGAACACAAAAAATACTCATCTGTGTATTCTGAGCATGTACAAATAGAAAAAAGAAAAACTTTGGCTTTAACAAGCAAACAAAAGCTCTTGTTTTACGTACCTGATTCTTTCTGGGTGTGCAGGACGAATATATAAAATATCTCATATCTAATGAAAAACATCTAAGAAAGTCCAAGTCAAAAAAAGTCGATATTTTTCGTATGGATATCGATACCGGCGCATACTTAGACAAAACGTTTTTGAAAGTTTCTCAAATCAGGGATGTTGAAAAATTGGAATTTTAAACATTTTTTCACGTTTCTAAATGCTTATAGTGTTTCTAAGGATAGCATTATGAAAAATGGATAAGCGTTTCGGAGGAAACGTCATTGAATCGTTGGAAAATCTTTTCTGGCAATTTTCGATAATATAATTTTTTTTAGAAAGCATGTTCTATTTTATAATATGATGAATCTTTATATCCTACTATTATTGGTGGTTCCTTTTTTCCACTTGATATTCCTCTGTCCATTCCACTTACCAATAAACCGTTATCAATAATTTTTGGTGAATGATAATTAGATTCATCTAAATCCGAATTATCAACATCTAATATTGTTGGTAGAGTAGAAATAGTTTCATCTGACAATGTCGATAGTATAGAATTATGACGTGATTGTTGAGGTATTAATGATTCGTATAAATTCAATAGACCACGTATGGAGAAATAATCATCAGCAATTCCATTTCGATATGAACAATGTCCTAATGCACCGTCCTCTGGTACATCGTCTCCATCCTCAACGATTATGTTTCCTTCTTGTATAAATGCTGATCCAAAGCTGACTCCGAGTGTCAAAGCAATTATTTTTTGATAACCCTGACCATATCCATGTTGTGCTTGTCCTAATGCAAAACTAATTGCATCATTAACAAATACAATTGGTACATTATAAAGATTTTCAATAATTCCCGATAAAATCGATTTATTTTGAATTGAATGAGGTGTAGAAGATGGCGAACGTTTGATATTTGATTGTCGCTTATGTTTTAATTTTTCATCATCAGTCATATGAAAATAATTACTCAGTTGTTCGATAAATGTTTTTGATGGTTTTATTTCATCTGTTGAAGTTAATGTAGTATTAGGTATAGGATCCTTTCTAGGAAATCCTATTTCACCACACGCATCTATTGATTGACCATACAATGATGTATCGGACGATAATATACTTTGTCTATGTTTTAATAAGCCGACTTTATCATCAGTTTGTGATAGTATCGACGAGGATGGTGTTAAACATTCAAACGATGTTGGTGCCGTGTAATATTTTGTTGTTTCTGAATCTGTTATCGATGTCGATGATGTCACCACATTCGTTAAAACATCGGATATTAATTCTTTCAGAGCATGTTTTATTGCCATGGTTAAATTTATTCCATAAAATGATTCATATTTATAAAGATTTTTTATTAAAGATATTCCATTTTTATAATCAAGTGGTACAGGCAAGCCAATTCCAATGCCCACAATGTCATATTTGATTGATGATTGATCGTACGATGCGATATAATCATTGAGTAAATCATGTATACAATCGATCCAAGATTTTATAACTAGTCTCGGATCATTCGCTTGAGAATCAATAAAATGTGAATAAATTGTATCATTATAAATTTGTAATGTTTCAATATCGACAAGAGCAGCTGTTACATGTTCACCGCCAATATCAAGACCAATTGCTGAACGACGCATAGTGTCTTCCACCAGGTCAATACTATTTCTAAAAGAATTAGAAAAAACTAATATTCAGATGTTACAAATAAATCTATCAGATCTTTATTATATTTGACTTATTTATGTCATACAAAAAAAATGATTATTTTGTAAATTATTTATATTTAATACCTTGAAGAAAAAGAAGAATTGCTCATATGTCAAACTGCTTTTGAATTTCTTCAGTATAGTGTGATGATAACGGTAATGGAGATATTTTTGAAGATTGATAGTTTGATATGACAAAAAATTTATTAAAATAATTTGAAAGATTTTAGATTAACACATAGTAGTCAATAAAAAGTTTTAATACAATGAGCTAGCACAATTTTTTAGTTTCTTCTCTAACTTGCTCTTGAATACTAGAGTATCGCTTATCTTCTATTTGCTTACAATTGCACAAAAAAAAGTATATATATATATATATATATGTAAAGAACGAGAATGGTTATGCAGAGCTTTTTTGGAAGGGAGAGAAAATGATAAACACCGTCTGTTTGTAAAACCATATCTATAAGTCATTTACAAAAAAAAACAAAAAAAACGTTGCTGTTATTTTAAGTTCTAATAATTTCAGTAAAAATTGATACATACCTAATTCAAGATCTTAAAATTAAATTCGTTGAGGTTAACAATATCCGACAATGAAAAAATATTTCAAATAATCTAAATGAAATTTTCTAAGCAAACATTAAAATTCTTTAACTATTGAAAATGAACAACATACGGTGATTAATTGTAAACTATTTCTATCATTTGTTACATATTTATATATGTCTTAGATTTATTTTAAAGAGTAATAATCATAAATAATATTATTTATTGTTACACATCACACATCATTCATATAAATAAAGAAAAACAAACGTACATTCATTATTTTTTTTATGTTGTATATGTAAAATATTATGCATTGACGCGTATCAAAATAGTTTGACAAAGAAAGAACTTATTGTTATCATCATTATTGCTTTTTATAAAAAATACTTGATTAAACATTGTATATCATTTGTTTTGTCACAAAATAAAGTGAGACATGTCGTTCATCAAAAATCATCAATAAAGTTCTTACTATATTTTAGTCATTTTATTTGAGAATGCTAAGATGATTAGATAATTAATCACATAAAGTCTGTTTTATACTTATACTCTGTGTACTATTTTTAGAACAGTCGATCAATATTTTGAAACTAGCTCATAATATTCCAAATATTCATCATAGATCAGTTTAATACCACCCATTTATCCATCAACATCAGATCGTAATTATTATGGAATGAGAATGAGACAACGTGATCTTCGAACAAAATTATATAAAACATACAATGCATAACCGTCAAGACAAACAAAGTCATAATTCAATGATAAATATATTAAAAATTGGACATATTCATTGATGCGAAAACACCCATTGTTAAATGGAAATGATCTATTAAATACAACTTATCTTGAAAATGTAACTCAGAGTAATTCAAGTCGACTTTTTGTTAATATTTGATGTCTTGGTTTAATTATCTGTCCTTAGAAAATAATGAGTATATCATTCAGTAACGCAATCATCATAGGGCCGAGGTTGCTCTGTGCTTCCTCCACTCCCATTAGAAAAATATTTTGTTCTACCTCTGATGAAAATTTTTTTTTTAAAGACTTGAAAGACCGAAGAAGAGCATTTTGATGATAGTGATAGTAAAAAGGAAATTTGAGTCAACTTTAAGAGAAACAAATTCTTAAGAGACACTGAAAGAGCCAGCCAGTGAACAGTGCGAGCGATCGTGCGTACTTGTAGAGGAAAAAATGATTTCTACCTAGCGAAACTGTTTCCGAAAGTTGTGTTTCTATGGCGTTCGCATGTATCTCAAACTTTCCTTACCTACTGCATATACCTAAGAAAAATTCTGAATCCGCCACTGTTAAAAGATTAATGGTTTCAAAGGCAAAAGATTTTTTTTTTTTGACATTCTTCTTGAAAAAATCCTGACTATGTCGGTGAACCATCATCAACTTTTTAGTAGACAATAAATGATGAAAATGATTCTATTTTTAGTGAGTTTCATGCCTCAACAATAACATCGAACTATTCAAATAACACTGGAAACACGAATGAATTAATAACAAATAGGAATGTTCGAACACAAATTCGTCAACATATGTAAGAAAACACTTTTGATATCTAGTACAACTCTCTAACTTTTATTTCAACTGAAAAATTAAGTTCACTTGTTCAAATTCAAATTCGTAAACGATGTTCGAAATTTTGGATTGTTTTCACATGTATTATCGGAAAACTAAAGTTTCATCAACCATGATTTCGTTTTTAGCAGTTTAAATTAAAACAGTAGAACATAAAATCAAACAGTTGAAATATGTGAAAAAGTAAGAATGTTCAATTTCATTAAACACGTTTTTTTGTTAAACATATTTATTGTATTGTAGATGAAAAATCCTTATGTTTATTAGCTAAAGAGAAATGATATTCTTCAATCGGTAATTTATTTGGATTTAAAATTAAAATGTATGTTTACTTTTCAATTTGTCTCTACTTTACATGTTCTAATTGTTTATCTTCTACTTTTAGAAGTTAAAACTGAAACAAAATCGCAAAAGTAAATGAATAGAAGACACATTGATTAATACTAGTGAAAATTATTATTTTTTCTTCTAGAACTCATTAACGTTGAGTTTAACATCGATAATGCAATGAAAGATCGTCATGAATTACTTTTCTCTTTTTTCCTATACTGATATTTCTATCGCCATATTCTTTGTTCTGTTTTTTTTAGAAATATTTGTCAGTTTTATGTGTTCCTTATGCTTGCTTCTATTTTCCAATATGTTCAATTACTTTCAGAAATTGAATCTAATTTTTTGTTTGTCATTACAATCTTGTTCGGTTTTACAGATATTTATATATTTTATCCTTTTATGAGGTGGTTCCTTTTCACAATTTTGTTTATACTTTCACACACATCTGTATAGTAGTGAGACCGCATCCACTACTATCCATTTTAAATTAGAAAGTCCTCCGATATTTTTTGAATAATTCAAGGATTAAAAAAGGATTAAAGAGTTCATTTTTTTCATCAATTTGTAAAGAAAGCTTGATTCTATCTAAACATGTTTCTTAAAATTCCATCACAAAACATGTCCGTTATATTATCATCTGAAAGTTTTAAGTTATTTTCCATCGATTTTGAGTGGGTGATGAATTTTTCAGTGTTTGGTAAAATAACTAAAAAATTGTTTATATTACGTTGCCCAAAGTCGGTTTTCGTTTGACTTTTGAATTATTTTTTCTTTCTAAAAATAAATATTGCTACGAGGTTCAGCATGGTCGTCTCTGCAAAATGATGAAAACCGGAACATTTTAACTCTTTTCTTTCGCGAATTGTTTAAAAATACTGGAGTAAATTTTATTTTATGGATAGATACTAGTGGATTTCTATTACTCTAAATATGTGTGTAATAAATAGATTGTCCTTCCTGTTAAATAATGTCACTTATATCACAAGCATATGAAGAAGCATTCATAGGCATATTATTAGTAGTAGATTATATCTAACAATTGATATAATTATCTCTGCATTCGAAATGGTACTTCTCAAGTGCCTCATATCTCTGATGAAGTATCAAATTCACTATACTTTTCGGCAATATTCAATTTTTTTTATTTTTGATAGAATATCTCTATACTGTTCTCTTAAATGTTGATAGATTGAAGTCTCTATAAAAAAATTTAACTTCTAATGTAACTTCTACCTCTTTACACACAAAATTTGATTATGAGACCATATACACACAGACCGTTGTTCTTTTTGAGATAAATTGTCTCTACTTCATTCGGAAGAATGCGCATTTATACATCTAAGAAACAATTTTCAAGTATTGCTTGAAATGTTGAAAGTTAGTCACAATATATATTTTTTTACTATACAAAGTATAGAGGTATTGGTAGAGGACACTTCTAATGTTAATTTTTTAACCTTATGGACATTTGTTTTGTAAAGATTTTCTTAATCAACAACTTATTTGTATTCTTTTTCTGTTTCAAATGTATAATATATTTACTCTTCAACATGGCAAAAAAATCGGGCAAAACATCGCATGAGGCAGATTTAGTCGACGACGTAAGTATTAAATATAATAAACATATTCTATCTCTGATTATCATATTCTGAAGAGCATGTCTTACTCTCATCATTTCTCAGAGCATGTCAACTGCTCATATGGTCATTTTTAATAATATCCACATATCTTCTTTTATTTGACCTTGTTGTGAAATGGTTGTATTCTTAATTCTTTCTTTAGGCCTTTGATTCAGATACATCATTAGAAAAATATATTAATACCACCGATAATTCACCGTCAACATCATCCAAAACATCGAGTGGTCAGAAAACAGTCTTGTGTTTCATTCATTCAAATTCGTTTGTTTAAATTCTTTGTTTAGGTTCTCCGCAGCCGAAAAAGCGTTTTCTTAAAGAAAAAACATCAATACAAAATGACTTGAATGTAAATATAGCGATCTATCATTCATCCAAAAAAAATATGTCGTTGATCATTTTCTGAATAAACTTTGACTATCGATAGCTAGACATCTACGGCTTACTACATTTAACAGCCAAGACTTTGATGTATCTTTCCATAAGATTACATGACCGTATGATTCGAAGTGTCAAGAAAATCTATGAGCGATTCAGAAGTTTTTCAGAAAACTCTGTAAGATGTGCGACGTATTATTTGAGTGAAAACTAATTCTAATTCTATCGACATATAAAACACCTGAAATAGATTATATTTTGCAATTCTGAGGTGTACTGAACTGATTTCGGATGAGTTACCAGTTTTTTGCAATTTTACATGAGAATAGTCGAAAATGGGTTATTGCGCCTGTAGTAGATTTTCACTAGGTTTTATAAATTATCACAAGGTTCAGCATGATCGGTGGCCTAGATTTCCATTGGTTTTTAGTGCTCACACGTGATCTTATATTAGTCCTTCAGTATTTACGATGCTATGTCCAGACGACAAAAAAGGAACAGGTCGGGAGACTTACTTACTTTAACTATCTACCAATCTAAAATATCTCAGATCTTTCTATTCAAACGTTCTGAGTTGTAAGCTGATTTTTCAAATATTCCTTCAAAACTCTACTTTACAACAAGATATTCAAGCTTATTCTATGATAAAATGATGCACTAAAGTCTTCGCTGTCGAAAACTGAAAACCACAGATCTCTAGCCAACGATAATCAAAAGATATTCAAAACCCACTCATTCATATTTCTATCCGGACAATAAAAGTACTGCCATTTTAATCGATTTCATTTTCAGAAAGATCCAAAATTCACATCATCCATCGATAATGATTTATTACGGACAGGTAAACTCAAAACGTCAAATAATTGTTGAAATTTATTACCATGAGAAAAATAATTTGTGACGTTGCTTTGTTCGTGTGATTGAATAATTAACCTATTCAAAAACTATAAATTGGCTAAAATTCATTGTTTTTAGATTCACGACCGTTAAATCCACTTGCCAAACCTGATCTACAGTAAATCTGTTTTTCTTATTTTAAATATATTTTTGTTACGTGTCCTCTTATTCATTTTAGCATTCAAAATGATAGTATTGTAAATTCGTTCTCCAGCAGTAATCTATTGGAAGGTAAATAGTCCTTTTGTTTGATAAACTGAATTAATCAATAATATAGATATATGTGTTTAGAGAAGAAAAATGAAAGTACCAAACTTGGAATGGATACTTTGGATGAAGAACAAGAAAAAGCGGCATTTTTTAAAGTACAACTTAAAATATATTTCGAATTGCTAAATTTCAACATTAAATTGTTTTTAGAATTTAGAACAAGATAAAGGTGCAACATTAGATTATGGTATACTGAATAAACAAATTGAACATGATCTATTACGACATAATACGAGTGGTAGGTGATATTCATCAGTTCATTACTGTCATTAATTAAATTTATTTGAACTTTAGATTTCGGAAAAACGAGGAATTCATTTGATGATAAAGCTACGCATAGTACACCATTACATCAAGCAAATGTTTTATCAAAAAGTAAATTGAAAAGAAAAAATATTGAACGATTTAATATTCATTCTGAATTTATTTTAGTTTCATTGACAAATGAACTTGATCAAGAATGTCTTGAACAAGATAAATTAACAAGAAAAGTATCACAACCATCATTAGAAGATGTTAGTAAAACAACAAAAACTAGATCAAGTAATTAATTAAACTGATAACTGTGGCTAATGTTAGAATATCTAGTCTATTTTTATTCGAAGTTTTTAATACAGCATCACATAATACTGAAGGTGATCATGAATTATTTCGTACTGTCCATCGTCAACAATATGATGATATTCCCATATCAAAAATGTCTACGACTTCCCATCCTGGTTTTGGATCAAAAACATTTGTAACAACACCAAAAAAATATGATCAAAACTCAACATCTTCCAAACAAGTGACAACAACAAAGCCAAAGTCAATCAATTTAAGTATGCAAAAATTCTATATAATCTAAAAACGAAAGAGAATTGATAATTTTTTTATTCTACTATTTATAGCTAATAATACATTATTGAAAAATTTACCCAGTACTCGCTCAACAACTACAACGAAAACAGCAACATCTCGCTCACCACAAAACAGACAAAATAATAGTTTTGGTATAGTATTTGATGACAAGCCTTGTCTTTTAGTTATACATAATTTGAATTACTTCAAATTCGAACTCTTCTCTAGATTCGCGCTCGAAGTGAAAATTTTTGATTTAAAACATCTCCTAAGCATCATTAATTTATTTAGATGAGACAACAAGAACAAGTCGACCGAAAAGTGAACCAAAAAAATCGGCATTAAAACAAAAAAATGTAAGTATTGTTAAAAAATGAGATGAGTTGAAAGAATTTTGTCTGATTTTTACTTTTCTTTATTTAAAGAATGAACCGCGTGCATCGCTTAACGTCAAAATAGATGATAATTTAAAGGAAAATCTGGCACAAGAACGAAGAAATATCGAACAATTGAAATTTGAAAAAGATCGATTAGTTGAAAAGTTGAAAGAAGTTCAAAATGAACATGAAAAAGAAATAAAACAATTACGGCAAGATAATTATGTACTGCAAGCAAAAGTATGTTTCACGTGATTTATTAATCGAAATGGCTACCGACAGCTTGGATATGGCAGCAAGGAGCTAATAACAGATCTGTTTAAAACATTTCTTAACAAGTTTTCAATAATACCTTCAACTCACAATGAATTCAAACTACCTTTGAGCTTCATCCTCACTTTGACTACCCACTAACAAGGGAACCTCTTCAAGTGCCTAACGCCGATTTCAATGATCTCTTGCCAATAGATACTGTATAGTGTCCTAGTAAAGAGCCCAAAAGGATTTGGGTTCTTATTTGCTTCCTGTGAAGTTATTGAATTTTTCTGAGCTTTTTCTTCAGAGCCTTAAAAGTTTCATAAAGTCTTTTTCCTTTCATATGTATTAAAAGTTTTTCTTATACATAGTCTGATAGAAGAAAGCCTTCTTTTCAAAATGAGACGTCTTCCAGAATTTTCCGATTAGTTTTGGTGGAAATTTAAGCATCACTGGAAATACCCTAAAAAAATGACTGTTGTACAAAATGTGTTTTTTGTTTTTTTATTTTTTTAAAAACGTATTTTGTACACAGGTCACTTTTTTAGGGCAGTTCCAGTGATGCTTAAATTTCCACCAAAACTAATCGCAAAATTCTGGAAGACGTCTCATTTTGAAAAGAAGGCTTTCTTCTATCAGACTATGTATAAGAAAAACTTTTAATACATATGAAAGGAAAAAAACTTTATTAAACTTTTAAGGCTCTGAAGAAAAAGCTCAGAAAAATTCAATAACTTCACAGGAAGCAAATAAGAACCCAAATCCTTTTGGGCTTTTTACTAGGACACTATACTCTTACTCTCATATTCCACCATCTTTTTTGAGGTGTCAACTATTAGTGAACCATCATCTTCACAACAACAAGGTAGTGGCAATGCGCCATCTCTACCATCTGATTTATCAAAACGTCGAGAATTAAACGAGTTAGAAAAATTGGTTGATGGAACTCAATTAGAGAATGAAAAATTATGCAAAAAAATAAAATTAATTGAACAACAACAAAAACAAAGTGAAAAATCAATGTTTGAAGAAAATGAACGTTTACGGCAAGAATTAATACAAACAAAAAATCAACTAGAACAAGAAGATAAATATCAACGTTTTAATTTGAATAATAATGCCACTATAACACATCATGACAATAAATTGAATGGAGCCATTGTATTAACTGATTTAAATAGCAATAGTTCAGATAATATATATTTATTAAAACAAGAAAATGAACGATTGAATACAAAAATAAATTCATATGAATTTAGAGAGCAAACGCATAGTGATGACATTATGAAATTAAAAAAACAATTAAGTTGGTAAGTATTGAATGAATTTTTTAGATATTCTCGAGTGATTAGAGATAAACATCTACAAATAAACTATCATTCGTTTGACACAGTAATTCTACTTTCTTTATATTTACAGGTATACGGATACACAAATGTCAAATGATCAATTGAAACAGCAATCGTTAAAACAGAAAATAGATGAAATTAACGATTTAAAACAAAAATATCATCAATTAGAAGTTAAATATCAACAACAAGAACAACAAAAATCGGATGATCGTACTTTACGATCGTTGGATCAACGTCGAATTCAAGATTTAGAACGACAATTAAAAGAGTTAGAATTTATTACACGTAAACAGCAACCATCGTCACAAATTGCCATGACGTTGAATACTACTTATGATAAACATCAAATGGAAAATAAATTAAGAAAAGTTGAAGAACAATTGGTTGAAAAAAGACTATACGAAGAAAAATTGTTAAAAGACCTACATATTAGTGAACAAAAATATAATTATATGAAGGCAATAGTGTTCTACTACCAATACAATTCGGAGTTAATCTATGTTCTTCTTTATTTTAGAAAATGTATGAAGAACGTCTGGAGCATCTTGAGTCAGGTATACAATCAAATTCTATTCAGCCTATTCGACGATTTGAGGAACGATTAAATGATCTATTAACTAAAAATGAAAATATTGTCAGTTCAAATGAACACACAACACTTCGACAAGAAAACGAACAATTAAAATTTGAACTGGAAAAAGAACGTGAAAAAAATACAACTGGATTACAAATACAACAGCAGCAGCAAACACAGCCATTATCAGCGCGTACAACGACATTAAAACCGAGCCACTCTAGCGAACAACAATCAAACATAAACAAAACTGTACCATTAAAATGTACGTAATTAATAGAGTGATTATGATTTTGATTCTATTTGGTTTTACTTTCAGCTACCAAACGTGATTTAGAAACAATTAAATTATTACGTTCAGATTTAGAGAGAAAAAATGAAGAATTAGATAAATTACGAGCGTTGTACGATGCCGTTTGTGTCCAACATAAAAGTTTAATAGCTGAACGAGATCGAGAAAAAACACGTCAAGCAGGTATGTATGATTGTTGGTTCTTATTCAAAAATTTAAATCGTGCTTTATTACTTTTTTCATTAAAAAATTCGCAGTGCTCGGCAATAAACCATACAGTGCTAGTCGATTTATCGAGGCAATAACGCCAGTTGAATTGATACAGTCAGAAAATGAAGATTTGAAACATTTAGTATGTAATTTTACTAAAATTTAAAATGTTAAAAATCATGATGGGATAGAATTCTGATAGATGATGTATTTAGTAACTTCAAACATTCAACTACTTTAGGTTAAAAAACTTGAGCATGAAACTGCACATCGAGAAACAGAATTGCAACGATTGCGTGACGAACGCGAGTTTGCAATACAAACGGCTATCAGAAGTAAAGATGAAGAAGTAAGTATAGTGTTTGTACGTAACTAATTAAATATCTGAGCGGCTATCTCTAGTGGATGTACTTGACGCAAGTATTTGAGAAGTATTTTACAAGTTTCCTCACTTACTAAGTATCTAAACAAGAACTTGGTAAGTGTTTTTATTTCCCAAATTCTTATCTAAGTAATCGTCAAGTATGATCACTTGATTCGTTGACGAGTCAATCTCCCTTTTGTTTTGCATTGACATGAAGTTGTATATAAACGTCACGATATCAATCAGTATAAACTTAGAATATAAATTTAGATATTTCTACTGAGTTGAACAAACTGGGTAGACATGTATGCGTCTGCTCTACAAAAGTAGAATATGACTGCAGAATACATGCAAAATAAAGATAAATGGAGTAAGTACTTGGCTGAAGTTTTTTAAGTAAATTTACTTGCACTGAATCCAAGTGCTAGAACAAGTACATGAAAAGTAAATTCAAAGTACTTGTAAATAGAATTATTTGTGGAAAACCAACAGGGACTGACTATAAGCAAAAATTATATTTATTAACAAAACGATAAGTCCATATGAAATCTCTCGCATTTTTACAAAACTTTTTTCATTTCGCTTAAAATCAGCTTATGCTGCTGGAGCCGAATAGGAGAAAAACGACTTTTACTCTCTCAGTAAAATAAGATTATTATTATATTACTATATTCTCTAAAACTTTGATGCTCATTCCATTGCGAGTAGCGCTGATTCTAATATTTTTTCTGAGAGAGTATGAGTCGTTTTTTTACAGCAGCTATGAAGTGAAAAACAATATTTTCTTACGTAACTCCATGAACTTTGTAAGTTTTATAAGATGTGGAAGACTTTACATAAACTTACCCGAGAGTGACTATATCTACAGACAACTCAGATCATAATTATTAGATATTAAAGTTAGCTTTCCTGTAGATATCATCGATCACCTCTCGCCATTTGATGCTACTCGAGAATTTATTGTCCTTAATCTGTGTTGTTTTAGATAAGTCAGTTACGTCAACAGCACAAAGTTGAACTTCAGCGTGCTCTCACTGAAATTAGTGTTAATGCAACCGATGTGCGCATCAGTGAACTATTGAGAAAAGTGGAAACTCAGGATGTTATCATTAGACAGTTAAAGGTAGCAAAGTATATTCTTAACTATTTTTGTCGCTAAGTTTGTCGGTGCTATTATGTTAATGTATTTTTTAGAAACAATGTGAACAAGCCGCAGACAATGCCAAAGAGTTGGCCATATTACGAGTGAGCGATGATGAATTGCGATCAACAATCACAAAATTAGAAAATAAGTTAGATGATGCTCGTTTACATCAAACACCAAAAATGAAACATTTTCAACAATTAGAAACAAAAATACAACAATTAGATAGCCGTCTAGAAAAACGTGAACGTATTCAAAAAGATTATAAATCAAGTATTTTAAAACAACAAGAAGATAGCAATGATGATGTATATAAATTACGTTCAATAATACAACAAAAAAATCAAGAAATTGAACGTTTTCATGTTGAATTAGATACAATGCTACAATTGTTAAAGCAATTAAAAGGTCAAGATCATAATTCATTCATATAGACAACATTTTATACAGTGAAGTATTTAGAAGAAAAAAAACACTCACAGTAATACTGTTTGTAAATAATTGTTGTTGTTTTGAACTGAAACTGCTTGGTCGTGTGCAACTGCTCGTCAGATTATAATATAGAATTTTTTTCTAAAATGGATGAAGAATTTGGGCTTACAAGTGGCCATTATTCTATGTACTGAGAACATTGAATGAAGAACAGCAAAATGTATTCTACTATATTCGCAACTGGTGTCTCCGTAAATAGTATTTAATGGATGTTGAACCAAGAAATGAAAAACACTGTTCTAGTTTTTCTCTGATTCCAGTAGAGCAAGTTTGAGTAAAATAAACTGATTTATCACGCAGTAACAACTGATTCTCAGACATCATTCTACAGTAGACACCACACAAAATCTGGTCCTTTCTTTGAAATAGTTTGAAACTTCTCATACTGTTTGACATTGAACGGGCTTAAATTGCCTACAGTCTTTTCTTCTGTCTCACGTATTTTCCTTATTAATGTTTCTACTTTCTTCTTTACTAAATTAAAATATTTACGCAAAAGTTTTTGTGTCACAATAATCTTAAACCGTTTAAACATTGAAGAAAACTGCAAAACATATACAGAACATTTACGCAAGGCATTATTAATAAATTTCTTAGAACTGTTACTTAGCCAAATCTTTCTCATTCCACGTGATTTAAATTTGTTAGATAAACGCTTTGTTAATAAGCTTTTTTTTAGCCGAAGAATTATTATGATGTCTGTCCAATTGCTTTTTAATAACACTGGCCCGATATCTAGAAATACTATGATATAAATCCTTTTTACGAGCTGTAGTTGCTGTTCTTGTTTTCAAATGTACTTGTGAATTCGAACGATACTCATCTAAGAAAGCGTTTATATATGCTTTACGGAAAGCAGGATTTTGCAAATACCGTGTTTTCTTCCGTCTTTTGTTACCACTGTTAGTTTTTTACCCAATACGCATCATCAACTTGGTATCTACGTTTACGCTTTTCCTTTCGAGATACACTGTAATTTGGAATTCTTTTCTATAAATTGATTTTTCACATTTGCCAGAAAATCGATAAGGAATTTCTAAAAAGTTGAAAAATCGACAGCAATTTCTAATTTTTAGAAAATCGATCAATTATCTATAAATAATTCCCAACATTCTTGAAATTCGACAGCGGTTTTCTAAATAGTTGGAAAATCGAATTCGATTTTCCAAGAAGACGAATCGGTGATTTTTTTCTTGCTTCTTTTACATCTATTAAAGCCTATATTGCAACAAGTTGTCCTGTAACAGATCTCTGCTCCTTTTAGTATTTAACATCAAAATGTTAGTAGATTCGGAAAGTTCTCTCAGCTTTTGCAAATCAGCATATGAACTTTATGACGATCACAAAGCGATTCGCTCTTGCTAATATTCCTCATTTTTATGTCTGAATTTAGCATCTTCCAAAAATGTACTTGGTTCTATTAACTCAAAGACATAATCTTAACAGTTCACATTTATTCTATTGTTTTTTTAAATAAAATAACAGTCGTTCAACACGTGATCGATGTCGAATTTGGTTTTCATTAGTAAAAGATCCATATTGTTATCCAATAAGCTGAAATAATACATCCCACTCAACTTCGAAGTTTAATAGTTTTTAATAATGGTGAAAAAGTTTATCTTCAGCCATTTTCACTGTGCAAGTCTCTGATTATTAGCATTCTCACTCAAATTGTTCTTCCTCATCATCTAGAAAATCGCTGAGGATTTTGTACGAAGTAGAAAATAATCTGACTTTTTGATTTTCGAAAAGTCCATATATAAAATCGCTGAGAATTTTCTATAAATGATTCTCAACAATATCGAAAATCGACGTCGATTTTCTATAATCCGAAAAACCCGTGAGAATTTATATATCGACTTTTTGAAAATCGCCGTGCATTTTCTATAAATAATTCCCGACTTTACAGTGTACCTGACTATGAACGTCTCCCGGATTACCATTAGATAAGGTAGAATTGGAGGGTAAACGGGTCGTCTGGTTAGTAGGAAAGTTGATACAGTTATTCACTTGACATGTATTTCTTCTGTTAGCGTCTCTCTACTTCTTTTTCGCTAAATTGCCGGTGGTTTTCTTTTTCATATTTTGTGTTCAAGCACTTTCCTCACGTCCCTACGTTAATATACAATGCTTAAACATAAATGTACTAGAATAGTACTTTAACAGCGCTTTAACAATCCTTCAACAGTGTTTTTAACTGTGCTCAGACACAGAAATGTAATAAATCACTTATAACTGTTGTCGCGAATATGTATCATAGTGGTTTAACTGCTTAAATAAACCGAATGATTATACACTGGAATGCTTAAATTCTGATATGCTTACATTATGAAATGCTTATATACTGGAATGTTAAAATAACTGTCGATTACGGTTTAATCCTTTAACCCACTTGGTCACCACAGTGGGCATTTTTTGCTAGAGCAAGCGGACTTTAGCTTTATGAGTGAACTAAAATTTCATGAACCATCTTTTTATAGGTTTTTCATGATCCTCTTTCTAATGGCATGAGAGTTGGGTTTTAAA